TGGGGACAGACCCATGCTTACGGTCAGCAAGCACGGGCACGCGGCGCGTCACACTGGCTAACAGAACAAGGAGAAAAGCGTCCCTCAAATTCTATGGTTCCTATAACTTCGTTTTTGGAGACTATTTGTAGAAGCCAAAACGGGATGAGAGCCGCTGCTCTGATGACTCGTCACCATTCTACATATTTACTCACGGAAAAAGAAACCACGTATTCTTGAATTTTCCCTCTTTATAGCAAGCAGACACAAGACTTCTTTGACCAGCATTTGCCAAAGTGTGTTCCATGAGGTGCCCCAATTTAGCAAGCGTCATGAGGGTTGCTATAATCTCCAGGGCCCAGAATGACACCTGTCACCTATGCCATGTGAATAAACACCTGTCAACGGCTGATACACGCACGCACCCACCAATGTTTCTTTAGTGACGTTTGGGGGAAACTGGCCTCTTCCTCCACGGGAGGATATGGCAGGAGGATGGACGTAGGAAGCAGACCTTCGCCTGCAGACTGAAAATTCGCATGCACGTTGACCTTGGACTCCCCGGCCCCAAGAACTGTGAGATGTAAATGTCATTTATAAGTCACCAGACTACGGTGTTCTGTCATAGCAGCCCAAACTGACCAAGACAGGGTCTGTTTTTAAGAACTGTTTAAACAAATGATGACAAAACTGTTGTCATAGCTTTGCCCATTTAAAAAAAAAAAAATGTTCAAATTGAGATATAATCTGAAAATAAAGGCACTTCTTTAAATTAAAAAAAAAGTTCAGGAGAAAGTGGGTTAAAATCTCTTCACTGCAGTACGCTTGGAGCCTGTAACACGGAGTTTGGTTTGGTATAGGGCACTGCTCAAGTGTGTTTGAACTTGGGACCATTTCCCCCACATAGCTTCCCAATGTGCACATTTTGAGGAAGAGTGCCCAGATAAGTGTTGGTGGCCCGGTGCCCGGCCAACACTGCTCTGTCCCCAGCCCCACCCACTCCACACTGCTCACTCGGGCCTGCCAGCCTCTCTTCAGA